AGAGTCTTATGGTTTGCCTCCCCCTCTCTTTTTTCCCCTATGTTCATCTGTTTTGTTTCTTAAAATACACATATGAGTGAAATCATATGTTGTCTTTCTCTGACTTCTTTTGCTTAGCATAATACATTCTAGCTCCATCCAAGTCATTGCAAATGGCAAGATTTCATTCTTTGTGATGGCTGAGTAATATTCCATTGTGTGTGTGTGTGTGTGTGTGTGTGTGTGTGTGTGTGTGTGTGTATACACACACATACCATATCTTCTTTATCCACCGGTCAATGAAACTTGGGTTCTTTCCATAATTTGGCTATTGTTGATAATGCTGCTATAAACATCAGGGTGCATATGTCCCTTTGAATCAGTACTTTTGTATCCTTTGGGTGAATACATAATAGGTCATAGGGTCATAGGGTAGTTCATTTTTAACTTTTTGAGGAACTGCCATATTATTGTTTGCAGTGGCTGCACCAGTTTGTATTACCACCAACAGTGTAGGAGGATTCTCTTATTTCCTGTGTTGTTAATTTTAGTCATTCTGACAGGTGTGAGGTGGTATCTCACTGTGGTTTTGATTGGCATTTCCCTGATGATAAGTGATGTTGAGCATCTTTTCATGTGTTAGCCATCTGGATGTTTCCTTTGGAAAATGTCTATTCATGTCTTCTGCCAATTTCTTAACTGGATTATTTGTTTTTTGGGTGTTGAGTTTGATAATTTCTTTATAAATTTTGGATACTAATCCTTTATCAGATATATAATTTGCAAATATCTTCTCCCATTCCACAGGTTGTCTTTTAGTTTTGTTGATTGTTTCCTTCACTGTGCAGAATCTTTTTATCTTGATGAAGCCCCAATAGTTCATTTTTGCTTTTGTTTCCCTGGCCTCCCTAGTAAGAAGTTGCTTCAGTTGAGGCCAAAGAGGTTGCTTGCCTGTGTTCTCCTCTAGGATTTTGATAGTTTCCTGTCTCACATTTAGGTCTTTATCTTTAATCTTGTACATATTTAATTATTATGTGTCATGGTGTGGACCTCCTTAGATTAATCTTGTTTGTAACTCTGTTTTCTGAGCCTGGATGTCTGTTTCCTTCCCCAGGTTATTGAAGTTTTCAGCTATTAACTTTTTTCAAATAAGTTTTGTGCCCTTTTCTCTCTCTTCTCCTTCTGAGATGCCTATAATGAGAATGTTTGTTTGCTTAATGTTGTCCAAGGTATTCCTTAACCTATGCTCATTTTTTACAATTATTTTTTTCTTTTTTGCTGCTCAGGTTGGGTGTTTTCCATTACCCTGTCTTTCAGATCACTTCTGCACCTTCTAATCTACTGTTGATTCCCTCTAGTGGATTTTCCATTTCAGTTATGGTATTCTTCAATGCTAATGATGGTTTTTTATATATTTAATCTCATATTAAAGTTCTCACTGAGTTCATCCTCTCTTTTCTCCAGTCCACTGAGCACATCTTTATGACCATTACTTTTGAACTCTATCAGGTAGGTTGCTTATCTTTGTTTCACTTAGTTCTTTTTCTGATTCTTTGTCTTGTTCTTTCATTTGGAACATATTCTTCTGTCTCCTTATTTTACTTGACTTTCTTTGTTTCTGTGAGTTAGGTGCAACAGCTACTTCTTCTAAATTTGAAGGAATGATCTTGTGTATTGTCATCCCCTGTGTAGACTGTATGTGCCTGGTGACTTTGGTTAGTTATTTGGAGCGGTGGCTGTTGTGTACTATGGGTCATGGGGTACTCTGTGCTGGGAAATCTGGTGGTATGGATGAAACTGAAATGGGTATGGGCCAGGGTGGTCCTAGGGTCTCCACACAGAGAGTGCCCTGCCAGGACAGCTGAAGTGGGTGTAAGCTGTGTTGGGGGGCTGGAATCCTGGGACTCTACACAGAGTGTACCCTGGCAGGATGGCTGAAACCAAAGTGGGTACAAGCTGGGATGTCTTGGGTCTCTCCACACAGAGAACACCCAAGCAGGATAGTTAAACCTGAAGTGGGTGCCAGGCAGCGTTGGGGGTGGGGGCATCCTTGGGCTCTCCATGCATAAGGTGCCCTGGCAGGATGGCTAAAACTGAAGTTAGTGCAAGTTGGGGTGTCCCAGAGTGATTCACACAGGGGGAACCCTGGTGGGGGAGGCTGGAACTGAGGCAGAGTGTGACCCACGGGTTCCCAGTGTGCTCCATGCAGAGGAAGCCCTAGTGGAGAAGCTGGAGCCAAAGTGGGCATGGACCAGGGATTTCTGGAGTGCTCCATGCAAGGGGTGCCTGGTGAATTGTCTGGAGTCAACATTATATGGGCCTGGAGTATTCTGGAGTGCTTTGCACATGTGTCACTTTGGCAAAAGGGTTTGAGCTGTAGTGAGCACTGACAAGGAGTGTTCCAGTATGCACTGCACTGGGGCTGTCTTGGTAGGATGGCTGGGGCTGGTGTGAGCTAGGGCCCAGGGATATTGAGGTGGTGGGCTAGCTAAGGTGACTGGATCCTGGCTCTTGTTCATGCTATCAAGGAGGAGAGGGGAATGTAAATCATGGTGCTTGCCAGGCTGGAGAAAGTTTCAGCAGCTCCCTCGCCATTTGGTGAAGTTCTAGGGGTTGACCTTTTATATGGTAATTGCTCTTTAAACTGTGGCTTTTTTTCTGTGACCCAGGCCTTCAAGGGCTGTCATGGGCTAGGGGCCCAAGTCTTGCTGAGGTGGGAGGCCAACTATGGCACCTGGACCCTGCTCCCATCTTCATTTTCAAGGTGGAGGGGGGGGATCATAAACAGTGGTGCTTGCCAGTCCTGCCAGCCTTAAGAGCCTTTCAGCCCCTCCCATTTGGCTGGTTCCATTATATTCTAGTTGTCCTTTTAAACCTTGACTTTTTTCTATGCCCCAGTACAGGTGAGTCTGCCCATGGTCCCTTAGTCCTGTCCCTCCCCACTGTAGTTCACAGTGTTGGGGTTAGAGTTTCCCTTTGTTACTGTGTCCCTCTCTTGTGCTGTCTCTTTGTGGTCTCTATCTTTTGTTGTGCAGAAGCTGTTCAATGGGCTCTCAGTTCTTCTTCAGGAGGAATTGCTCTATTAGTAGGTGTAGATTTGGTGTGTCTATGGAGGGGGTGAGTTCAGGGTCTTCCTATGTCACCATCTTGGACCAGAACTCCCAAGTTCTCTTTTAATGCTTAATCTAGCTTCTGGAAAATCATCTGCAAAAATCTGTAAATTTTTCTGTCATAAAGTGAAACCATAATATTCTTAACTCCTACTTCATGTACTCCTACTATTCTCAACACTTCAAGTCTATCACTTATTTGTTTATGGTACCTCATAGTGTCAGTTTTATATATGTTTTGCTTAAACTAGTAAATTTTAAGTTTCCTGGTAGTCAGTTACTTCTTTTTTCTGTGCCATTTAGTATAGTACTTTGAACATAAAGAGTAGCAATAAATGCAATTTTTATAACAATTTTTTACATAACATATAAACATATTTCAATTATTGACAGGCAATGAACATAATCAAAGTTGAAAACCTTCAGCCAAAAATTAATTATTGGAGTTGGAAATTGAAGTAAATCATTAATTAATTAATTTAGGTATTATTCCTCTTTACTGAAATTAGTGTATAATACTAATGTGTACTGATTGAAAAATTATAATTGGTTACACACACACCATATATATAAACAATAGCAAATATACTGTCTTGATTTGATTAATAGCTTGGCAATTATTAGAGAAGAAATGGATCAAAAATATATCAACTGAGGAAAATGGGTCTCTTCCCTTGCTGTTATTTCCTTCAGTTCTCTCTGTTCCCACATGTTATCCAAACCAGGAATCACCAACCAGCTGTTTCTTACCCCTAAGACCACTGCTCAGAGTGAGTCCCTGAGCCAAAGTTCTCTCTTTGTAAGGCATCATGATACATATAATGTCAGTAATTCCTTTTTACATGTAATACAGATACTTTTAAATCTTTTTTACAGTGTGAATGATTATGACCAATATTTTATTATTGATTGCTTCTTTAGTTGACATAGGGTAAAAGAAAGAGAAAGCAAATTCAGAAAGCATGCCATGGAGCAGATAAGGTATGTTATATGCTGATACCCTGCCCTTTAAACAAATTAAATAAAATTATTTTGACATCCTATTTGGATTATGACTGTGCCATTCTGAAGCTATCCTGAAAATTTAAACTTAAATGCACATAAACGTCTATCTACATAATAGGTATCTGTGTCTATAAACAGTTGTGGCAATAGAAGAATAAATAAGGGTACTTATTAAAATAAAGAAATAAACATCACAAAAATGTCAGTTTTATCAAAATGAGACATAGAATTATAAGCAAAATCACAACTGAAAGATGTTATATGCATAAGTAGCTTTACTTCCATTTCCTACTCTTTTTGATCATTTTTCAAAATCCGTGGAGTCTAAACAACGTAACCTTTCCCTACAAGAAACTATTTTTATGCAAATATAGAACTTCATTGAAATATACCATCTTTGTTCATTGTCTAATGGGCTTTCTGTTAAATGAATTTGATGAAAATGCAATGATTTTGATAGTCTATCATAAGTTTTAAATGGCAAGTCTTTCTGCATGCGAAAAGGGTTTGTATCATAGATAAAATCTCTAATGGGCCTAGTATGGATTTTCATAATTATGTATTTCATTATGCAGATAAGTATGCATGTGTATGTGTCTTTAATTCTAAAGTAATCTTAAAACTTAAATAATTAAAATAACTTTATATGAGACTAGATTTATACATGGAGAAAGTTTGTTTGATAAGTTTACAAATATAAGTTTACAAATAACTTTATTGCTTATATAGCAGTCATTTATTAGGATTCAACAAATATGTTAGGATGCATAGAATTGTATTTATCCTATTATGAAAAACACATAATTACCTTATTTTTTCTTTATATTCTTCTGGTCAGACTTTTGAAGTTGTCATGGATGTGTAGACTTTAAATATGATTTAACAAAATCCTTTTTCTTTCTTTAGGAAAAAGTCAAAGAGAGGGAAGAAAATCTGAATCTTGTAAACCAATTCTTAAAGTAGAATACAAGACCTGTAGAAACAGGTATGCATTTTTTACTTTGGGTGATATGGGACAATATATAAGAAACAGACAAGAATGGCAAATAACCTTTAATAATCATGTATTACTTAAAGTTTCTTATAATTATATAAGTATATTAATTGGCTAAATCCTCTTCATTGATAATAACACTTTGTTATTGTTTAATAGGAATATCTATGATATTATTATGAATATTATAATAGCAATTGCTAATTATTTTAATTTTCTATGAATATTCAGATGAGTATTATGTACATTAATTTTAACAATGTTGGACTTTTGGGTTGTGCACATTACAAGTAGCAATCATTTAGTATTATTAAACAGAAGCATACCTATTGGTGTATTGCACATGAAAGAATTAAATACATAACCAAGTCTCTGTACTTTAGGATTTCACATTCTGAACTTGGAAAGATTATAGTTAGTTGAAAAGATAAACAGTTATATATATTAGCATAATAAAATAGTACTAAATTTTAAGATATAAAAAATTAAATTGAATAATATACAATAAAATTTTATCATGTATATATAGCAGCTTTATCCTATAAATCAAGAATGTTCTTTTTACTTACAATAATTATTAGTGGCAATATTCTCTTCCAGAATTACCATAATTACAAATCTTGCCTAAACCTTAATTTTATTTTAACTCTAAATTGGATAATTCTACTTTATATTACTTACATATTCACACTGGAATGTATTCTCAGTATTATAGATGCATTTAATGTTTGTTTACACCTGCTCTTTGAAAGATTTAATAGTATAAAATTATGGCCATTTTTAATGTGTTAGTTCATATATATATAAACTATCATATGGTATATATTTATATATACAGATATATTTTATGTATATATTTTTACATTAGTTTATATATATACATATATATGTGTGGACATACACACAATAGATCAGTACCTCCTTAGTCCAGCCGAATGTTACTAAACATAAGTAGTAAAAATGATCAGTTTTATACTACTATAATTAAAGTATCAAAACATTTTAAATTTAATTATTATGGATGGAAACATTTTACATATGTTATTATATATGTTTATATATGGAAATATTTTACATATATACATATATTATTATTATGTACACATATTATTAGTTACTACTTAGTACACACTGTGCAACTTGTTTGGTGTACTAAGATGAAAGAGAATACTGCCTGCTTTTGAATCTGTTATGGTCTAGTAGAAGTAAGACCATAAACTAGTGGTTTCCATGTAACATGTGAGGTGCTTTTATAGAGATATGCTATGAGAACACAACAAAAGGACACCTAACCCAGCCTAGAGAGAAAGGGGAAAAGAATGGTGAAGAGAGATCAGTAAATTTCTTCTTGGGAAAGAGGATACCTGAGATGGCCTTAAGGGATAATAGGATGGTGGCACACAAAGTAAGGAAAGGGTGAAAGTGAAGAGAAGATACTTTAGGAATCAGGAATTCAAGTCAAGGCAATGTAAAATAATTATTAAGATCCTTGGCATATGGGGTAAGACAGCTATGTGAGCTTGAAATTTTTAATTAACGCTTTTAACTTTAATTTCCTCATCAATTATACCTATCTCATTGTGATGTTTCTGAAGAATAAATGAAATTATGCATGAAGTTTGTAATGTCATAAGTTTGATGAGTGGCACATAGTGGATTTCTTGATAAAAAGAAGTTATTATTGTCATCATCAAAGCAATGATATTTCACATTATTGAAATTATTCCACTGATCCTAATTTAATGATTTATTCTAGTAATTGGTAACCCAATTTTGTATAGAAATAATTCTTCAGATTTCTAATGTGAAATAATTATATATTATTGATCATAATTACTGTCATCCCACTTACAGTGCACTTTAGTACATTGTGTGTGTTTGTTGTGATTACTACTATATTAGAAAATTCACCTTTAAAAGCAGTGGTTCCCCCTCTCAGAACACAAGGAGACTAAACAGCAGAGGAGCACCAAAGTTGAGTACTAAAAGGTATTATGACAGCAAAATGGACCATAGCCTGGAAGTGACAATAAATAGCTATATTTCTGCTCCATCTAGTACACAGTAGAAATTTTGTGAAATCCTAAAATTGGGATGGCTGTGGCAGGAGCAAGAACTTTAAGAAGAGTTCTACCAAATATGCTGCAGCAATAGGGTCTCTTAAAGATTGCATAGGTAACAGATGCAAGGGTATGTTTTCTGTTTAATTTATCTTAGATCAACCATTCACAAACTGGCTTTATATTTCTAGGGATAAACAACCATTCTGCTTAGGAATCATTGGTCTCCAATCACCAAATTGCTTATTGGTGCCCCAACACCAATGGCCTCTAGGCTTAATAAATTTATTCTATTCAGAAAAAGGAATAATGATCTCTCTACCTGCTACCACTAACATTATCAAGTTTCTGTGATTAATAAAAAATTACTTTTTGCTAGTCTTTTAATCCCTTTCTATCATGGCCACCTATTGATAGACTTCATGTGTAAAGTTCTCTAAGCCTCAGCATATCCATCTGTTAAGTGAGAATAGTAGTAGTTTTCTCATTGGGATATCATAAGGATTCAATACAATAATGCAAGTAAACTTCTTCACACAATACCCAGAACATCATAAATATTCAACAAATGTTATTTTAGTATGTACTATATTATGTTGCACAGTTTATTGCTTAATCTTGTTGCCTTCATTAAGAAAAAAATTTAATGCTTTTTCTATATTTATTTTACAAATTATACAGTAAAATATATTTTTCTTTTGCTGTACAATACTGTGGATTTTAACACATGTATAGATGCCTGAAATCACCACCACAATAAGAACACAGAACATTTCCATACCCCCAAATTCCTTTCCTGCTGTTCCCTATAGTTGCACTTTTCTCCACTTCTAACCCCTGACAACCATTGATCTGTTCTCTATCACTGTAGTTTTGCCTTTTTAAGATGTCATATAAATGCAGTTATATATTATGTAATCTTCTGATCCTAGCTTCTTTCACTCAACATAATGCCTTTAGGATTTATCCAAGTTGTTGTCAATGATTTTTAATTTGGGGGTGCCTGGGTGGCTCAGTTGGTTAAGCCTTCAGCTTAGGTCATGATCTTAGGGTCCTGGGATCAAGTCCTGTATTGGGCTTCCTGCTAAGTGGGGCACCTGCTTCTCCTTCTCCCTCTGATATTCCCCCCACTTGTGCTCTCTGGCTCTCTCTGTCAAATAAATAAACAAATAAAATCTTTAAAAACTAATTTTTAATTTGTATTGATGTTTTCTTTATGTATGAAGACATTGTTAATTATATAGTTATTTATTTCTTTTGTAATAATCCATCTGATCAGTATGCCAGGATACATTTGTAGTAAACAGTAAAGGAGTCAGTTTAGTGTGGTATAACATTTATCAAATTGTGTTCCTTTGATCACTAACTGTATTCATGGAAAAATAGGAATCTGTAATCAAATACATTTGAGAGATCTAAGAAATTCTGGGTTATATAAGAGTTAATTGGATTCTTTACTGTACAGTTTCTAGAATCTTTGCTATATGGCCTGAATTATAAAATTTCAAAAGGGAGATATGGTGTGCAAGTGTCCATCAAATTTTAAATTAAAAACTATTTTTCAGGGATGCCTGGGTGGCTCAGTCGGTTGTGTTTGCCTTCAGTTCAGTTCATGACTCCAGGGTCCTAAGCAGGGAGCCTGCTTCTCCTTCTTCTCCCCCTGCTTGTGCTCTCTCTCTCTGTCAAATAAATAAACAAAATCTTTTTTAAAAAAACCTTTTGTTTCAGAACATTTTTAAAGTTATATTCCACAGTTTTAGAAACATTAGACTAGAAGTAAAAAATGTACTTTGGAGTCTGGATTTCAATCTTTATCCTTTCACTCCATAGCAGCTTGACTCTAAACAAGTTCACCTGTATTAATCCCAGAGTCATCTGCTACAGGCAGTATAGATCACTGTTTAGGAGAATAGACTTTGAAATCTGACAGATCTGTTTTCTTTTGGGTTTTTCTGCATAGTTGTTACTTAACCTCATTAATAAAATGAGGATTATACTTATGAGAATTTAATGTGATAATTATCTAATGCAATTATTCATGAGTGGTTTCCTGAGCATTTCCTGAGGAATGAACTTTTTGTTCAGTCATTCAATAGTTTACAGAGAAGTGCATATATATCAGCAATTAACTTCAGATCCAGTGTCTGATGCGGAGTCATAATAAAAGCAGAAAAGCTTTTGCTTTCTTCCAATATTAGAAAGGACATATTTTTCCAATGTGCTTACCAAAAAAGGGGAGAGTAAATTGCTTCTTACCCTATATTTGGATTACCACTAGGAGATGAGATTAACTTCACCCCCTTTTACATGGAAAAAATAGATATTTATGGCCTTATTAACATTTGGAGCAGATAGTTAAATTCAATATGTATGCAAAGATAATATGTTCTCTAAATCATGACATTTGTTGTAAAACAAAGCAACACAAAAAGGTGCAAAAACACTTACTCATTTCATTAAAAACAACTTTTAAATCTGGAAAAACCTTAATAATATAAGCATTTATTTTATAGGAAAAAACTTGCTGCTTAGTGCCACCATTACTAGGTTGATAATTTAGTATGCCAAATTACTGAAGCAAGACTAACATCAACTGATATAGGACTCAAGGAAAATAAATTAGATTATTTTTTCTTATTTAGCTTACAACTCAAATATTTATGTTAAAACATTAAGACAGAATTATAAATAAAAATCAGTATAGATACTTTATATGTAAGTTTTAGTGGAAACTTTTTAAAAAGCTCTTTTTTGTTCTTGTTATGTAGGCAGCCTAAGATTAGCAAATGTCCCATTGGTAATGTTTGGTACCATGTACAGTACAAAATGAAAGAGAAAGGGAAATTTATAAAGTGATTTTTAGAAACTAGTAGATTCTTTAGTGAATAGCTGGAAATGAATTACTTAGAGAAGCATATGTTCTCAAAGAATTTGGTAAAAATAAGTGTCTAGTTCTTTTTAAAAAAAATTTTGGAGAATACTTTCAGTTTGGTATTTACTTATTAAATATACTTCATCAGCATATTTTGTTTTATATACATAAACTAAGGATACAGGTATTAATTTGAGAAAAGTGAAAAGTTATGACACTATTTCTTAACTTTCTGACAGCTGTAATATTTTATAGTCATCTCAGCCCCACTCAATTTATCTAATTGTATCTTGCAACTAACAGGGCCTAAAAAGTTTGATGTTCATTTTAGTAGCTAAATAGAACTGGCTGACCCAAGATAAAATTGGGAAGATCACATTTTTTGTCTTAGTTTTCTCCATCTTTTTATCATAACCCTTTCCCACAGAAACTCCATTACATAGAATTGTCATGTTACGTTCTACCACTCTGGGCTTGCTATTGTTGCATTTAATTTTATATTGAAATTTGCCTCTTTTATCCCTTAAGAATTTTGGACCCCACATGCCAAATGGTTAATATGATAAACTAACATAGCTTAATATTCTAATGGTAGTGATATAGAGTTTTGGGAATCAACTAATACATGTGGAGATGTCCTTTTGACTCAATGAGCACCTCTATTTCCCTCCAACTTCTCTACCTTTTCCCCAATACACCTCATCACCTTTAGACTGATTCATTAGTGATTTTAATGGTAAGAATTCACAATCAGAAAAAGGGAAATGGTAGAATAGTGTCATTTGGGTGAGATATTTTGCACTAAGAAAGATATTTGCTGTCAAATTATGTTGTGTATAATCCCTATCAAACTTATTTTTCATTAGCTCAGTCCTATGATATTGTATCATCTTAAAGGACTTCTCAATCTCATTAACTTTTTTTTCTATGTAGTGAACCCTTCATAATATTTTCTGGTGGATTGTCCTATGACAAAGCTTGCAGAAGACCAAGTTTAACCATCATGCATGGAAAAGCAATTACAGTGCTTGAAATGGATCATCCTATTGTTGAATTTCTTACTTTATGTGAAACACCCTATCCAAATGGTAAGTAAAAAAAAAAAAATGAAACTATTAATGTTGAAAATCATTTTTGAAGTAAGTTCCTAATAAAATTAAGCTTAAATATTTTTAGTTTTGGCAGCTGACATCCACTGTGGTACAACACTGTGAGCTACAGGTGCTGGAGCAGGTTCCGCAACTGTACCTACTTGACAAACTGGAAGTAAGACAGATGTAGTACAGCAGTGCTGGAGTTTCAGGTTCTTATATCAGGTAAGTGCTTTAAACTTTGATAAGGATGGTGGAAGCTGAGCTGGGAGGGTCTGATAGGGGTCCAGGGTGAAATTACTTGGGGAAACTGAGGTCTCCTAATAGCCTCTCCTAGACCAGCTCCACCCATCCCATTCCAACACTAATCAAAGTTAAAGCACTTACCTGATATCAGTGATCTATAACTCTGGTGGTAGTGCATCTGTTTCACATCTGGCTTTGCTTCAGATGCAACTGCAGCACCTCTGATTATTCTAGGATTGCTGATGTGTGGTTAGTGATTTATTTCAATTTTGAGAATAATTTAGAAGGGCTTTTGGGAGGAGAGATGCATCCTGAATATAAGGACTTTTTGTAAACATAAAAACTAAACTTATGTGCAAACTGTATAATGAAATCTAATAATAATGAAATATTTTAGTAATCTAAAAACTGAGAGGGGTGAAACATAAAAAGCAAAATATGAGTTTATGATTAAAACAACATAGTATGTATATGTGTATATACATATATATATAAAACTACAATTTCAAGAGGGAACATATATAAGAGAAAGAATACTAGACTTGGAGGCACAGTATTTGGTTTTATGATTTAGCTCTGTCATTCACTAGCTGGGTGACCTTGGGTAAATCATTTTACTTTTATGAGTTAGATTTATCATTTTTAGAAAGAGAATAATAATATTAATGCCACATGACTATTGGAAGGCCAAAATGAGCACACTTTGTAACTATGAAGATCTATAAATTGTTTTATTACAACTGTATTAATTTGCTTTAAATTCTTTAGTTTTGTATTTAAAGATGGGATAAATTAATATGAAATAACAGTCAATGAGGCACTTTATTTCCAGAGTTGCTGGGACAGACAAGTTACCTGTGTTGTTAATTAATCAACAAATATTTATTGGATGCTTCTATGGTCTCAGTACTACAAGGACTTACTGAGAATACAGATGAAGTATGAAACTGATCTCTAATGTCAAATCACATAAAATCTAGTTGGATGAGGGAGATAATTATGACTTAAGTTTAAAAAATATAACAGTTAGGTGCTGAGTTATATGGGTCAGAGTTTAAATAATATACTAATTTACAGGCTAGTAAGATAGTCAATTGCTAAAATATTCTTGCAAAGGTTCATGGAAAAATAAGTTTTAGATAGACTTTGAAGAATGACTTGGCATTTGAAAAGGATATTGAGTAAAGGTTTTAGAATTTGTAAAGTTTGCTAGAGTGAGATCAACTTAGAGAAAAAATTGAAAGCCTTTTAGAGGTATTTGGAAATAGGGAACTACAGAAGAATTTTGGGAAAATATTAAGGTGAAAGAAAGCAATGCTTTTAGTGAAATTTACCAAAAAGGAGTTTATGGGTTTGAACAGGCACTGAAATCTTAAATTCCAGATTCCAGCTGGGAGGCTTTTGTGACAATATTCATTAAAATGGTCAAGATCTGAAATACAGGGCTGCCTGTAGGAATGGAAAGAGGAAACCCACTGAATTTGGTCACCAGTTAGGTTTAGAGAGTGATATGACAGATGAGTTAAAGAGAACATATTTTAAGAATAGTGGTTTCAGGGGTGCCTGGGTGGCTCAATCAGCCTGGGATTGAGCCCTGTGTTGGGGCTCCCAGCTCAGCAGGGAGCCTGCTTCTCTCTCCCTCTGCCCCTGCCCCTCCCCTTGCTCATGCACACTCTCTCTCTCTCAAATGAATAAATAAAATTAAAAAAAAATAATGGTTTCATATGCAATAATAACAGTTTTTGGAAAGAGAAAAAGATAAATCTGATTATAAGTCAGTAGTCAGCAGAAAAAGAGAAAGAAAAGGTCTTTAATATTTATTTATGAATTATCAGAATATAGATATTCTTTGGGGTTATGAGAATGAATGTTAAAGGAACAAAGAACAAACAGAAGACCAAAAGCTGAATTTAGAAGAGCTTAGAGAAAAATATGTGTGCCAATAATAGAGACTGATAGTGTTTGATCTCTGCAACCACACATTTTTATGTGTATGTGTGTGTCTGTATAAGTTTCTACTCATCAGTGGAAATGTTAGGATAATTTCTAATAATATTAAGTAAATTATAAATATATTGTAACTATGTCTAATCACTTCCAAGCCACATATATGTCTTTGTTTTCAGAGTAGTGATAAACAATGGAATTTTTATTTGTCAGGAGCTAAGAGAAATACTTTACTCAGTAAAATATAAATGTATTTTATTAACAATTTCTGGCTAAAACAATAATACATGAAAGCGACAGAAAAGATCCTACAATCCACATTAGTATATAATGAAAACTTACTCACTGCCCTTCCAGAAGTGACTATTTCTAAGTTTTTGTATTTTTCCAAAAAGTTTATGCATATGCCTATGTGTACTTATCTATGTATACATTATCTCTTTTTTGTACAAATGAGAACATATTCCATGTGCTGTTCCATATTATACTTTTTTTCACCTAACAGTGTATTTTGAGTATGATTCCATACTAGCAAATATGGAACTTCATTCTTCTTTGCAGCCACATAGTGATAAATCTTACACATATGTTACACAAATAAATTTATTAACAGTTTTTAATATTGATAAATCATTTGTGACATCTGACAATTCAATTCAACTTGTTTTTCAAAGAACACAAATGCCTCTTATCTCAGGGGGTATTGCCCAGAGTAACTAAGCAACTATACTCAGAATTCATCAATTTCACATTTACATTTAACTGTATCTGGTCCGCTACAAGCATCATAAATAATGCATTCCTCTTCAGAGAAATAGTAATTTTTATAGAGCTTTTTACCTGTAGGGGGCTAAGGTTAAAATACTAAGCCTGCTCAAAAATAAACCAATCTAATGGAGGAAGTGATACCGTTGGCATCTACTTAGCATGTACTATGTGCCAGACTTTGCCTTAAACATCTTCATATACATCTAATTTTCATAATAGTCTAAGGTAGTTATTATTTTGCCATATCAATGGATAAAGAAATTGAATTAATATAATTGAGCTAATAAGTTAATGAATTTGCTTAAGATCAAACTGTTAATAAATAATAGACACAAAATTGAACCTAATACTGACTGACTCCTAAGGAAATCTTTTTATTCAGAGATTACTACAGTACATCAGGTATTTCTACAAAGGTGAAACTTTTGCTACCAGTTTTTATTATTTGAAAAGAAACAATAATAATCTAACAGATGTACCTACCTAAAGTGATAAAATAGATATAACTACCTAAAATGACTATGAATTTTGCTTATTCATGCCAGTGTCTCAGCTATTTTATTTTTGTAGTAGTTGCTTCCCCATCAATGATTGCCCTGGAGAGAAGACAAAGAAAAAATGTAATAGTATAGAACTCCAGTGTTCCTTCAACTGAAAACTAAACCAAAAAAAAAAAAACCAAACCCTAAAAACCCTAAATTCAGAAGTACTGAAATAATGTTGAAAACTTAAAACAGCTCTAAGAGATAAGGGAAAAGTGGAGGAAGCCTCAATTTGAGAACAGATTAGATGGCAAACAGTATGAAGACTGCATACTGTCACATAGACATGCACCCAAACAAGGGTATACTCCTCAGTTTTGGGGTTTCTGTTTCCAGTTTTTCTCTTGTAGCATGTGACTTATAAATATGAATAGGTTCTACAGCTTCTCAAGACTATAAAGGCCTGTGAAGGACTATGAAGGCCATCTTTTCCAGTTTCCCACCTAAGACTTGAATACTCTGAATAAAATTCCCACCAAGTGATTGTTGAACTTTACTTAAGGTAGCTAGTAGAAACTGCTGGAATAATGAAAACACATGAGAATTTAGAATCAGAAGGTCTGGGTTAAATTTCCAGCTTTTTCAATTAACCAGCTTTGTAAATTTGTGCCAATCTCACAATCTCTTTGGACTTCAGTTTTCTCTATGAAATGAAAAATAGTAATACCTGTTCTAGCTACTGAGAATCAAATATCATGTATGTAAGATGTTTTTGTGAATACTTTTTCCTTAAATTGAGAACACTTTAACTGTGCCTTTCCTTTATTATTCCCTATTATAGATGGAAAGCAGTGTCTTCCCTGACCACAATAACTAAATCAGTGCTCTCCCACCAACCACAAGTCATTTCTTATACTATTACCTTTGATAATTCTTTTCATAGCTCACATTATTCTGTGAATTTATCTTATTTGCTTACTTCTTCATGGTTTGTATACATCACTAGGATGTAAACTCCATGAGAATAAGGACCTTGTCAATTTTATTTTCCATATATCCTTTGTTCTGAGAATAGTTGCTAGAACATATTGAAAGGAGGAGGGGGCAGTTAAAGTGTAGGAATTTGAAAATCCTAGACTATCCTCAGATTCCTTGCCTTTTTGAGGTATATACTCTTAGGGACATATCTTTAAGTACATGTTAAATCACATTGAATTGAAATTAAATTTTTTGGTATAAGGAGTGTTGCTCTCATAGGGAGGTGAAAATGTATCACAGCTCAGGAAGGCAGAACTACTATTTCCTTAGAACATCTCCTTGTGCCTATAAAATCAGATCTAAAATGGAAGGTTATGGAAGAATAAGATAAATGTTTGTGAGACAGAGGTGACAGACTCTCTTCAAATAATCTGCTATCACCACCTCATGATTATAGAGAAATGTTTAACTCTATGCCTATTCAACTTTTCATTTTCATATTCCCTATAATGATCTTAAATATTAAGTCTGAGAAACACAACAGTATTTTTAAAAGTGCTCTTTGTTACTTCTTACATTGGCTCATATTTTGGTCTTCTGAAATCATTTAAATAACATTTGTAAGGAGATAAAGGAAATGAAAATTTGGTGATTTTATAAAATATGAAATATGAAAACTTCCACTTTTTATTTTTTACTTGTAGAATTTCAAGAACCTTATGCTGTTGTAGTACTTCTGGAAAAAGATCTCATTGTAGTTGATCTGACACAAAGCAAGTAAGTTGTTCATTACAGATTAAACTATTTTTATACTCTATTCATTACAATTAAAATACAGGAAGATGTTATAGATAACTGACAGTATATGTTAGATGATAAATATTCTTTATGTGGAATATTGTTATGCTAGAATTGTAGAAATGTAATTGGTTCAATAATGAAAACTAAACCAGGAGAGTTTAGGAAACACAAAACTGTAACTTATTTTAAAGGCAACACCTGATGTTTGGAAACATGCATTTGGAGACTCAGGACACATAAAATGGATCACGTTTCTGCTGTTAACCTAAGCAAACACAACTGTTATGAAAATTTGTACAGTGTACTATATGGCCATCTGCTAGACTATTGACTAAAGGAAAATGGTACATGATAAAAGTATTATTGAACTATTGCAGCAATAATACAGAAGAGCAGGATCTGGAGGGTAGAGAAGATGGAGGGCTTCTTTCATTTTCTTTTCTTCCTTGTTATGTTGTAGGCAATGGTAACAAATATAAAATACTGCTGTTAGAGTGGTGATCTCAACTCCATTACATGGACAGTAAAAGTAGATGAAATTGATTAACACTGTCTTCTTGCTACACATTTTCATTGTAAATGATGATAGGCATAAAACTGATTTTCCCTCACTTTATTCCTTTTTTAATTGAAGTATATTTAACACAATGTTATATTAGTTTCAGGTGTACAACATATTGATTCAACAATTCTATACATTACTCAGTGCTCACCACAATTAAGTGTAATCACCATCTGTTGCATTACAGTATTATTCACTATGTTCCCTGTGCTGTACTTTTCATCCCCATGACTTACATATTTCATAACTGAAAGTTTATAGCTCTTAATCCCCTAAAGTGATAAAACAGATATAACTACCTAGGTCATTGTTTCCCCTTTGGCAATCACCAACTTGTTCTCTGTATTTATGAGTTTAATATTTTTGTTTCTTTGCTTGTTTTGTTTGTTAGATTCCACATGTCAGTGAAATTATATGGTATTTGTCTGTCTGACTTATTTCACTTAGGATAATACCCTCCAGTCCCATCCATGTTGTCACAAATGGCAATATCTCATTAGTTTTTATGGCTGAATAATATCTGGTAGATAGATCGATAGATAGATATAGGTTGCTTCTATACCTTGGCTATTGGGAATAATGCTGCAATAAACATAGGGTGCATATATCTTGGTAAATACCCAGTAGTAGGACTACTGGATCATATGGTATTTCTATTAATTCTTTGGAAAACCTCCATACTGTTTTCTATGGTGGCTGCACCAATTTACATTTCCACCAACAGTGCACTAGGGTCTCTTTTCCTCCACATCCTTGCCAACACTTGTTATTTCTTTTCTTTTTTATTCTAGTCATTCTGACAAATGTAAGGTGACATCTCATTGTAGTTTTGATCTGCATTTTCCTAATGATTTGTGATGTTGGGCATCTTATCATGTTTCTATTGGCTATTTGTAGGTCTTCTTTGGAAAAAGGTCTATTCCTCTGCCCATTTTTAATCAGATTTTTTGTGGGGGTTCTTTGATGTTAATTTGTGTAAGTTATTTAAGTATTTTGGATATTAGCCTTTTATCAGATATATCATTTGCATATATCTCCTCCCATTCAGTAAGTTGCCTTGTCATTTTTGTTGATTGTTTCCTTCACTGTCACAAAACCTTTTTATTTTGGTGTAGTCCCAGTAGTTTATTCTTGCTTTTGTTTCCCTCACTGGAGGAGATATATCTAGAAAACTGTTTCTACAGCAGATGTCAAAGAAATTACTGCCTATGTTTTCTTCCAGATGTTTTATGGTTCCAGGTTTTGCATTTAGGTCTTTAATTTGAGTTTATTTGTGTGTATGGTGTAAGAAAGTGGTCTAATTTCACTCTTTTACATGTAGCTGTCCAGTTTTCATAGCACCATTTTTTAAGAGACTGCCTTTTTCCCATTGCATATTCTTGCCTTTGTTGTAGATTAATTGACCACATAAGCATGGGTTTATTTCTGGGCATTCTATCTGTTCTGTTGGACTAGGTTATGTGTCTGGTTTTTTTGTTTGTTTGTTTGTTTTTGTTTTGTTTTGTTTTTGCTAGTACCATATTGTTTTGATTATTACAGCTTTGTAGTATATCGTGAAATCTGGAATTGATGAGATACCTCCAGCTTTGTTTTTCTTTCTCAAGATTGCTTTGGGGGCGTCCCTGGATGGCACAGTCAGTTAAGCATCTGACTCTTGGTTTCAGCTCAGGTTGTGATCTCAGGGTTGGGGGATTGAGCCCCGCATGGGGCTCCATGCTTAGCAGGGAGTCTGCTTGATATTCTCTCTCTCCCTCTGCCCCTCCCCACCAGTCTCTCTCTTTCCAATATAAATAAATAAGTCTTTAAAAAAGGATTGCTTTGGCTATTTGGGGTCTTTTGTTGTTCCATGCAAATTTTAGGATTCTTCTAATTTTGTGAAAAATGCTGTTGGTATTTTAATAGAGATTGAGTTAAATGTGAAGATAGCTTTGGGTAGTATGGACATTTTAATGATATTCTTTCAATCTATAGCATGGAATATCTCCATTTGTTTCTGTCATCTTTCTTTCATCATGTGTTATAGTTTTCATTACCTTGATTCAGTTTATTCCTAGGTATTTTATTCTTTTTGATGCAATTGTAAGTAGGATTGTTTTTAAATTTCTCTTTCTGCTTCTTCATTATTAGTGTATAGAAATGCAACAGATTTTTGTATATTAATTATTTATCCCACAACTTTACTGAATTCATTTATCCATTCTAGTAGTTTTTTGATGGGGTCTTTAGGGTTTTCTATATATAGTCTCATGGATCTGCAAATAATGACCGTTTTACTTCTCCCTTACCAATTTGGATGTGTTTTCTTTTTCTTGTCTGAATGCTGCAGCTAGGATTTCCAGTACTATGTTGAATAAAAGTGGCAAGTGTGGACACCCTTCTCTTCTTCCTGATCTTAGAGTAAAAGCTCTCAGATTTTCACCACTGAGTATGATGTTAGCTGTGGGTTTTTTATATATGATCTTTATTATGTTGAGGTATGTTCCCTCTAAACTCACTTTGTTGAGAATTTTTATGAGGAATGGATGTTGTATTTTGTCAAATGATTTTCTGCATGTATTGAGATGGTCATATGGTTTTTATCCTTTTTCTTGTTAATGTGATGTATCTTATTGATTGATTTGCAAATACCAACCATCCTTGCATCCCTGGAATAAATTTAACTTGATCATGGTGAGTCATGCTTTTAATGTATTATTGAATGTGGTTTGCCAATGTTTTGTTTAAGGATTCTTGCATCTATGTTCATCAGAGATATTGGCCCATAAATTTTTTTGGTAGTGTCTTTGTCTACTTTTGGTATCACATTAATGCTGGCCTCATAGAATGAATTTAGAATTTTCATTCCTCTTCTATTTTTAGAATCATTTAAGAAAAGGTTTAACTCTTCTTTAAATATTTGGTAGAATTTGCCTATGAAGCTGTCTGGTGTGGAGTTTTGTTTGTTAGGAGTTTTTGACTACTGAATCAATTCCATTACTAGTAACAGTTCTGTTCAAATTTTCTATCTTCCTAAATCAGTTGTGGAGGATTATGTTTCTAGAAATGTATCCATTTTTTTCCAGGTTGTCCAATTGGTTAGCATATAATTTTTCATAATATTCTCTTATAATCCTTTGTATTTCTGTGGCGGTGTTATTTTTTCTTCATTTCTGATTTTGTTTGAGTCGTCCCTCTTTTTCCCTTGATGAGTCTGGCTAAAAGTTTATCAGTTTTGTTTATCTTTTTAAAGAACCAGTTCTGGGGCACCTGGATGGCTCAGTTGGTTAAGCATCTGCCTTCGGCTCAGGTCATGATCCCAGGATCCTGGAGTCAAGCCCCGAGTCAGGCTCCCTGCTCAGCAGGGAACCTGCTTTTCCCTCTCCCTCTGCCACTCCCCCTTGCTGTGTTCTCTCTCTTTCTCTGTCAAATAAATAAATAAAAATCTTAAAAAAAAAAAAAAAAGAAAGAACCAGGTCCTAGTTTAATTGATCTTTTCTATTGTGTGTGGATTTTTTGTCTCTATTTTATTTATTTCTCTCTAATCTTTATTATTTCCTCTCTTCTACTGGCTTTCAGCTTTGTTTGTTCTTCATTTTCTAGCTCCTTTAATTATAAGATTAGGTTGTTTGAGGTTTTTCTTATTTCTTTAGGTAGGCCTGTATTGTTATAAACTTCTCTCTTACAACTGCTTTTGCTGTGTCCCAAAGATTTTTTTAAAAGATTTTATTTATTTAATTGACAGAAAAAGAGAGCGCACACAAGAGAGCATAAGCAGGGGGAGTGGCAGAGGGAGAAGCAGACTCCCCACTGAGCAGGGAGCTGGATGTGGGGCTCAATCCCAGGACCCTGGGATCATGACCTGCGCCGAAGGCAGACGCTTAACTGACTGAGCCACCCAGGCACCCCATGTCCCAAAGATTTTGGACTATTATGTTTTTATTTTCATTTGTCTCCATGTTTTTTTTTTTATTTCCTCTTTGATTTCTTGGTCGAACCTACTGGTTGGTTAGTAGCATTTTGTTTAGCCTCCATATATTTGTTCTTTCCAAATTTTCTTGTAGTTGATTTTCATTTTCATATCATTGTGGTTAGAAAAGTTGCTCGATATGATACCAAGCCTTTTAAATTTATTGAGACTTGTTTTATGGCCTAACGTGATCTACCATGGAGAATGTTCCATGTGCAATTGAAAAGAATGTGTATTCTGCTGGCTTTGGATGGAATGATCTGTATATATCTGTATATATTTGGTCTGTTGTGTCATTCAAAGGCACTATTTCCTCTAGATTTTCTGTCTGGATGGTCTATCCATTGACTTAAGTGGGGTGGTAAAGTCCCCTACTATTATCGTATGACTGTTAATTTTTTTCCCTTTATATTTGTTAATATGTGCTTTATGTATTTGGGTGCTCCAATTTGGGTGCATAGATATTTA